TTCTAGATATATGGCTGAAAGAATACGAAAAAGAACTATACACAAGAGATAGAATGCTGACACTACCATACCGTTTAGAAGTTTGTGAATCGTATCGAAGTAAATTACAATTTTGTACTGATAACGTTTGTTCTAAACCTGTTTATTCGGAAGGTATGACCATCCTAGGAAAACCTGACAAACCAAAAATGGAAGCTTCGTTGACGACAGATCGGGAGGTATTGATATAGTATTATTATAAATACCAGATATTATTGCACTTTCTATAGCTATAGAAATAAATAACGAATAAAATAAATTGAACAATAGTCTAGAAAGATATGTTGATTTTTGGTTTCCAAATGTTCAATATGGTGACAATTCATCATTTGATAATAGCCTTAACTATTCTTTGTTTGTCCTTATTTTAAAGCTTGATGTAACATTAGAGTTTACAAAAACCAGTGAATCTTGTAATAATATAATTAAAAGACTAGAATGGAGTATAACAGATAATCACAATGAACGACTGTATACATTTTGGAAGAAAGATGAGGGGATTGTTAATAATGACAAGGTATTATGTAGTATATATACGAATTGTTAATGAGTCAGACACGTGGTATATATAATTTGTAACATGAATTGACAGCTTGAACTTATTACAGCATTGCTCACGTTATGTTTTATCCAATGAAAAAGCAGTTCGTGCAAGTCATGATTTTTGTTAAAAGCTGGATGGAGCTTCAGCCATGCAATAACACCAAAATGGACTGGTTGTAGCATACCTAAGCTCCAGACTTTCCTCTATGATTCTATTTGACTTTCGTGTTATCCAAGTATGGTACAACAACAAATTGCTGATAAAAGACCATAGTTGTCTCGAACACACATTTCAAGCAATTCATTTCACATTTCACATCAAAGGAAAAAATGCAATTTATGTTAAAAATTGGTTTAATTTCTTCTTATTCAACTAATAGATGACATAGATAATTATTTGGCGTTGGTTCTTAAAAGCCTATGTGTGTTTTTATTGCATTTGCCAAATAATATAAAAACATAAACTGATTTTTTAAATTCTATTTCTAGATTCAATTGAAAATAATGCTAGATGGTAAAATAAACTCTAATAAATGTAGAAGATTGGCTCTACGACTATTTAACAAGGCAGGATTATCAACCTTGATCTCTAAACAGATTCAAAACTGCTCAGCTGTAGATCCAATATTGATACGACAAGCTATAGTTCTGGATGCTGTTAGACAAGGTAATAAATTATCATTATTATCATCATCATTGTCGTATTTGTTGTCATCATCGTGATAAATGATAAATGATGTGCCAACTACCTGCATCATAACTACATGTACATACAGGTGCTATATGATATTAATGTCATTATCATAATAAAGGTAATTCTACTTCCAGTGAATAGAAATGGAATCAAACTAGATCAAAATGCCAGGTGGAATGAGCCGGATGTGGACTATACTCCCTATTATGATATAATATCTGCTGTATGGCCGACATTGAGACATAGAAACTATACGTGGGGATTATTAGAGGGTCCATTACAACTTACGTCAACTTTATACAGTAATCCTGATATCATTATACCAGATCCTTGTTCTCATCCTGCTATTGTCATCTGTGGACTATCAGGTAAGAGACTGGTAGTATCATTAATAACATTTTTTAAATTTTGTATCAGAAATAATCTTTATATGAACCCAATGAATAAATTGGCTACATTTATTTGGGGTTTCCAAGACTCTAACTTACTGTGGTTAAATTTGCAAAATAAACTTTGGTAGCCATCAAGTGTTTCGGAAATAGTTTTTAATATAGTAACATTATAAACATGAAGATATTGGATTTCACTCTTTTATATTGTTGACTTTATTCTAGATAAAGAATATATAAATATAAAACCACCACAACTATTAAAACATGGTAGAAGATATCATGTTTGTCTTCATGCTGATTCTACAACACTACAACATGAGAAATGGGATGAAGATCTAGAAGAAATTAATAGTTGTAGTGATGGTATAACAGTTGATTTAACTCCCCCTAGTGGAGGTCGAGTCTGGATACAAACAGATACTAATACTAACTATCAGGTATTACTCAGTGAATCCAAGTATAAATTCGCTAGAGAATCCACGTTTACATTAATCATATAATTATTCATAGGTTTTATCGGATTTATTATTGTTACTATAATTAAATTGTACACAAAACAAGTCTGACATTGTACTTTGCATAAGACAAAGAGAATAACTTGCCAATAGCCAAAGAAGAATGGCATAAAACTGTTTTGCAAACATGTTATGAACTATTTATAAATAGTGACAAAAATGAATTTTTAAAATTATCAATTTTAATTTCAATAATCTTATTTATGTGTATAATTCATATTCTTTCTGAAAGCTTTACAAATTTTTGCTTTAATCGAAGTTCTTGTCTAATGCATTCTGATTGTTAGAAATGTTATATTGACCTTCAAATTCCATTGTATTTGATTTAGGTGTCTATTAATACTCTGGTTGTATTCTGGGATTCATTTATTGATGTAGAAGAAGAAGGAGGAGCTGTACATCCTAGTGGAATCTCACATTATATTATACAAATAGGTAGGCAGAACTGAAGAACCACTAACATCTAACTTTTGCATTTTCTTTCTTCAGTGTTGTTAAGGTTTGGTTGATGTGTGATTTGCTTAATATAATATTTTATTATGTTGTAGGCTCTTCAAGTTCTAGGTCTGATGTATTATCACCTGTTTCTGTTGGTCTTATAAATCACCAAGTTTTTCATAACTTAACCCTACAAAATGGTCACCAATACTTCGCTACAGTCACAGGAAAGTACCAATATTGTTTTTATAGCAATGAAGAATTGAACATGAAAAGTTTGTTTCGAACAAATAATTTTTCAATAGATGCATTAACACATTTATCGATATTT